TAACTTTTTAAGGAACCTCCACACTGTTTTCCAGAGTGGCTGTACCAGTTTGCATTCCCACCAACAGTGTAAGAGGGTTCCCCTTTCTCCACATCCCCGCCAACATCTGTTGTTTCTTGAGTTGTTCATTTTAGCCATTCTGACCACTGTTAGGTGGTATCTCATTGTGGTTTTAATCTATATTTCCTTGATGCCGAATGATGTGGGGCATTTTTTCATGTGTCTGTTGGCCACTTGGGATGTCTTCTTTGGAGAAATGTTCATGTCTTCTGCCCATTACTTGACTGGATTATTTGTTCTTTGGGTGTTGAGCTTGATAAGTTCTTTATAGATTTTGGATACTAGCCCTTTATCTGATTTGCCATTTGCAAATATGTTCTCCCATTCTGTATGTTGTCTTTCAGTTTAGTTGACTGTTTCCTTCGCTGTGCAAAAGCTTTTTATCTGGATGAAGTCCCAAAAGTTCATTTTTGCTTTTGTTTCCCTTGCCTTTGGAGACGTGTCTAGCAAGAAGTTTCTGGGGCCGAGGTCAAATAATTTGCTGCCTTTGTTCTCCCCTAGGATTTTGATGGACTCCTGCAGAGACCTGCTTTTCTAAGTAGCAAGATTTAAGACCAGTGGTTCCCAATATTTTAACAAAACAAAAAATCAGGACCCACCCCCTCAAAATAATAATTGGTCTTTTAGTATCCATTATTTGAGAAAACACATTGAAAATTACTATACATTCGGAAAAACTTTTACATGAGGTTGTATTTTTGTAGTCATGACAGCATCTGCCTACATTTTGGCACCTTTTGCCAGAACACTAAAGAGCTGAGTTAAAATCAATATTTGGTTACAGTTGAGCCATCTGTCCCTCATCTTTACTGAAATGTGCACCAATTTCAGTATCTTCATTGGAATAGAAGGACGGGAGGACCTTATAGCAGGTATCAATGAGAAATATTTGTATTCTCAAGAGGATTTTTAGTTTGGTTATTTCAGTAGTTTTCAGTGGACAAACTAAAGGCACTAAGTTCTGTAAACTATAGCATTAGGCTTTTTTTGTGTGATTAAACTTCTAAGCACATAATGTCTACTGTTCCACAGTGTTTGAACATCTCATGTGAGTCCAACAGAACAATTCCAAAATCTCTTTGGTATCAAGTAGTGTGCTCTTGACTGATGAAGAACTGCTGTCATATCACATGCCCTCCTTAATGCCCATCACCCATTGTAATTACATTTCTAAGAATCTATCCTAAAGCTTGATTTAACGTCTGGTTCTTTCTGATGGTCAGATAAACTAGAGGGCTGCAGATTTATTGGCATGGAGACAGGGGAACAACTGAGGAAATCTTTTATATATGCCCCTGAGTGGAGAGAAGGGAGACATAGAGAAGACAGTATAATTTATGCTTCCCAGCTTAGACCTGGGCACAGGACTGAGAACCCTGGACAGAGAGCAGCTGCAGGCAGAAGTTGAAGCCCTTTCAGAAGGAATTCAGTGAAATCCAAGGGCACAAGGCAGTGGGAGGAGCTGGGCATGTATCCCACTTCCACATCAAGCCCCTACTTGGAAATAGGAGGGAACCTTAATTCATTGATTGTTTTACCTTGCATTGCCTTGCAGGTACTCAGTGGATACTCTGGAGTGGTAGTGGCAGGGTACAGTCATTGTCACCTTGTTCCAAAACACATGAGAGACTCCTGAGATTCCAAAATATGCTTTGGAGCATTTACAGTTGGCTGAAGTCTGTGTTGTCAGGAGAAAGTAAAAGAGTAGGGGGATTTTGTTTTATGTGGTTAATATGACCTTATTTTTAGCTAAGTTTTATTGTGTCCATGGACCTTTAGTTTGCATGAGGGACATCAAATAGGTAGAGAAAAGTTTTATGCCTAAAAATGTTCACTATAGTGTATTTGTTACAATTGTAAAAAATTGAAAAATAACCAGAATAGTCCACAAATTTTTATTGCTACATCAGTCATCAAAAGGTATTTATAAAGAGCTTGGGAAAATTTATGTTATAATGTGAAATGAGAAAAACAGTAAAATATCAGCCATGTCAAAAATATTTAGGAAAAAGTACACCTGGGTGGCTCAGTTGGTTAAGCATCCGCTTCTTGATTTCAGCTCAGGTCATGATCTCAGGATCGTGGGATCGAGCCCGAAGTGGAACTCTGTGCTGACTGTGGAGCCTGCTTGGGATTCTCTCTCCCTCTCCCACTATTATTCCCCTGCTCTCTTTCTCTCTCTCTCTCTCTCAAAAAAAAAAAAATATATATGTATATATAGGAAAAAAGATTGATACGTACCGAGTAGTGGTTATCCTTAGGTCCTGGAACAATGAGTGATTAATATTTTCTTCATTTTACATTTCGGCATTTTACAAATATTCTCCATAAGTTAGCATTATTTGAAAAATAACAACCTTAAAAATTATAATAAAAATCTTTAAAAAATACATGTATTTCTTTCCTTGGTGGGTATTTGTGTATGTACAAGGGGACTGTTTTCTCTAGGAACAGCAGTGATTTCTCTTTCCAGCTGCCATGGTAATTCTCCAGAATGCATAATTCAGTGGGACACATTTGAATGCTTCCACTTGAATTAAAATGAATATCTAGAAGGAATCACAGGCTTCAGGTTTGGAATGTATACAAGAGATCTTACCCTCCAACCACCATTCAATTCCTTTCTATACTCTCTCTTTCAAGGGCTAGCCCAGCTTCTGCTTACAGACAAATTACTGCTGCTGGAGTTGGCTTGCTGGCTGTGAGAAAGTTCTTTATTTTGAAATGAAATCTATTTCTTAGTTTTCACACAGTAGGTAGTTTGACCTCCCCTACCCTCATGCCCCAAAGATAAGAAATCTAAGTAAATCTAATTATGTCTCTTCCACATGATAGCCTTTTAGGTATTTGAAAACATTAAGTCCTTATTCTTTCATGTGTTCATTCATTCATTCATTCAATGCTTATTTATTGAATGCCCACAAATGCTCTGTGCAAAGTGTAATGGGAGCAGTTGAAGATACAAACTCCCTGCCTTCCAGATGCTCACAGTTTAGGGTCTCAGGTCAAATGTTGAAACTCTGAGATGTGTATGCAGGAGGTTACCCTGGAGGAGGGAACCCTTGGTTCCCAAGGGAGTACACCTGGGAACAACATCTGGGAGAGGTGAGCAAAACGGACAGGCAGAGGGAAGAGCTGCCAAATAGATGCAACAGAGGCCTCAGCTGATCTTAAGGGGAGTTCTGGGGCTTGCTGACCCTTCAGAGCTATTTCACCTTAAGGCAAGGTGGTAAGATTTTTCTACCTGCTATTGTCCAGTCATTGGATAGGGATAAATTTCTTTTCAACGGTAAATTACTGGACAGGGACTCAGTGGGGAGCTGTCAACCAGTGCTCCCTTCAGCCTGAGAAATCATGTTGGTCCTGCAGGAAGAGTGTGTGCAGTGCATCACTATCCTGTACAAGTGGAGAGGTAGCGATTTTCCACAGTAGAATATAGCAAACCAGTTATTTGACTAGCTCTGAGTACAAAGTGCACGGACACATAGACAACATGTAGGCTTACCTGAGGAGCCAGGACAGGCTTCCCAGGAAGTCAAGGGTATGGATAGCAAGGAGAGTGCTTGTGAGCAGCCTTTAGGTGGTAGAATTGACAGTCCTCAATGATTGTTTGGGCCTGGGAGTGAGGAGAAAGGAGACACCCAAGTTTCTGGTCTGGACCCCCTTGGTGCCTGTTGTGCTATTTACCAGAGTAGAGAACCTGCCGGAAAGAGTTTTATGGTAGTCTGCTCTGAAGAAGAAAAAAATGGAAACATGTGGGACAAAGGTAAGGAGTGTCTAGCCTAAGTTGTCATTTCTAGCCCTAGAGTTTTATAAGCCAGACATTTCTTTCAGTCTAAGACTTGTCTGTTTTTGTTTTTGTTTTTGTTTTGTTTTTAATTATGTTAGTTAACATACAGTGCAGTAGGGGCACCTGGGTGGCTCAGGCAGTTAAGTGTCTACCTTCAGCTCAGGTCATGATCCTGGAGTCCTGGGATCGAGCCCCACATCAGGCTCCCTGCTCAGCAGGGGGCCTGCTTCTCCCTCTGACCCTCACCCCACTCTTGTGCTCTCTCTCACTCTTTCTTTCTCTTTAAAAAAACCATACAGTGCAGTATTGGTTTCTGGAATAGAAGTCAGTGATTTATCACTTACATATAACCCAGTGCTCATCACAAGTCCTCCCTCCCTCCTTCCTCCCTCCCTTCCTCCCTTCCTTCCTTCTTTCCTTCCTTAATTTTTAATTTAAATTCCATTTAGTTAACATATAGTATATTATTAGTTTGAGGGTAGAATGTAGTGATTCATCAGTTGCATATAATACCCAGTGCTCATTACATCAAGTGCCCTCCTTAATGTCCATCACCCAGTTACCCCATCTCCCCACCCACCTCTCCTCCAGCAACCCTGTTTGTTTACTATAGTTAAGAGTCTCTTATGGTTTGCCTCTCTCTCTGTTTTTGTTTTAAAATTTTATTTATTTATTTGACACAGAGAGAGAGAGAACAATCAGGGGCAGCTGCGGAGGAAGAAGAAGCAGGCTCACCACCGAGCCGGGAGCCAGATATGGGGTCAGATCCCAGGATGCTGGGATCATGGCCTGAGCCAAAGGCAGATGCCCAACCGACTGAGCCACCCAGGCGCCCCTCCATCTCTGTTTTTATCTTATTTTATTTGTCCTTCCCTTCCCCTATGTTCATCTGTTTTGTTTCTTAAATTCCACATATAAGTGAGATCATATGGTATTTGTCTTTCTCTGATTTATTTCACTTAGCATAATACACTCTAGTTCCATCCACATAAGACTTGTCTCTTTGGAATCAGAACTGATCACATGAATATGCTTTCCCTCTTCCCTTATCCTTACCTACCTGTGGTATGTTTTCACAGAACTCCCACCAAAGCTGACTCCTGTGAACTCTTCCTGGAAGTGTGCAGTCCTGAAGACAGGCCGGGCAGCCCCAGTAGCCTAGGGATTGGAATGATCTCTAGTAAGTCAGGTGTTGGGGTCCCTGAGGAAATTTGCCAGTGCATCCTGGCTGTGTCAGCATTTCTCAGCAGAACCCATTGAGAAGAAGGAAGAGAACAACATGAAGAGGAAGAAGCAGCTAAAGGAGCGCCTCAGTGCCTGGGACTGTCCTCATGGTCATTAGATCCCTCACATCTTTCTCTTTTTGCTGCATAGAAATGCTTTGCTCACCCACTACTCTGAAGCAGCAGAGCTTTGTGATTAATGACTCCTGATTTCTTATGCCTCCATTTCTGCATCTGTAAAATGGGAATAATCATAGTCCTGAGCATATAGGGTCGTTGGGAGGGGTAAGTGAGATAATCTATGGAAAGTGCTTCAGATTAATGCTTGGCTTCTAGCAGCAGCCAGCATTAGTTTCTGTCTTTACTGTACACCTGTCTGCTAGGATGTCCTAGAGGCAAGGTGCTTCTGCTGATTCAGGAGCTGAAATATGTGATTACTTGCTGTCCCTGGATTTTTTTTTCATCTTAATGCCCTATTTCATATACGCAAAAGTCCTTTCCCCAGGAACTCTGAGATTAGTGGTATTTCCTCCCTCTTAAATTACTCACCTTGTTGGGGTCAGCTGAGCCCAAGTTAAGTTGGGAAAGGAGAGATTCGTTGCAAGTACGTCAGAGAAATGCTGTCTTTTGGCTTTCTCACATCTTCGTAAGTTACTTTTGGCTTCTAGCCTCTGGAGGTGAGCTTAGATTAGTGAATCTCCCCCAGAGCTTTTTTTTTTTTTTTTTTCCCCGATTTCCTTCAGCCACATGGTGGGGACTGGGCGGGGGCCTTTCTGCTGGAGTCTGAAATAGACTAGCTAGGAAATTACTTTTCTCTCTGAGCTCCATAGATGTCCATTCTGACTCAACTCTGTAGGGAACAACTTAAGTGGGAGGAATGCTCCCAGTTATGCCTTCTGTAATGTTTCTTTGTCTTTGCTCTTGTAACAATTGCTTGTACTGCTCATTTGACATTGCATAATACTCTTTCTTGTGACAGCTCTCTTTTCCTAATGAACTATTAAAAGTTTTACTGCTGGATGTGAGGGCGATCTGGCTGCGACATCTGTCACCCCGTTGATTGCCAGGGTTGATGCGGCTGATCTGGCTGGCTAGGCAGGTGTCCCCTTCCTCCCTCACCACTCCACGGGCGCCCCGCCCGAAGCTGCGCGCTTGGTCCAAGAGGATGACCTTGCCTGATAGGGGAGAACCGTTCCTCCGTCAAGGGTATATAGTAGCTGCGCTCCCCTGCTAGGACCCCCAAACAAGCTCTCCAGGTCCATTTGTAGGAGAACGTAGGGTAGTCAAGCTTCCGAAACTCCAGACACATCCAAATGAGGCGCTGCAGGTGGCAGTCTGCCTTGCTTTAAAAAAAAAAAAAAAATTTACTGCTATTTCGCTTTTCAGAGTCCCATGCTTTATCTCTCCTCTCCAATTTTTTGCAAGCTCTTTAGTGAAGTCTTTGTACCTCTGAGAGTATTTTGCAGGATTTCATGTCCTTAGTAGGTCTTAGAAAAACTGATTTTTGTTGAGTCCCTTAGCTTGCCATTGTCCTCAGTATTTTTTCTTCTCTTCCCTGTATAGGCCCAGTTGGTTTACACAACATTGGACAGACCTGCTGTCTTAACTCCCTGATTCAGGTATTAATTATGAATGTGGGCTTCACCAAGATATTGAAGAGGTAAGACTAACATGTATATTATTGTACATTTTCATATATTCAGTTTTTCACAGTGACTTGTACTTTTAAGTCTTCTTTGAACAGTTGCCAGAGAAAAGATCTTGTTCTGAACAATCTAGACTACACACTATAATCACCTAAGAAGTTTAAAAAGAAATATGAATGCCTGTTTCCACCACCAGATATTTGGTTTCAGTTGGTCTAGGGTGGGGCTCAGATACTGGTACTTTTATTTTTAATTTATTTTAATTAATTAATTTTTGTTGTTTTTAAATTTAAAATCAATTTAATTAACATATAGTGTATTATTAATTTCAGAGGTAGAATTTAGTGATTCATCAGTTGCATGTAACACCCAGTGCTCACTCCATCAAGTGCCTCCTTTAATGCCCATCACCCAGTTACCCCCTCCCTCCCATCCACCTCCCCTCCAGCAACCCTCAGTTTATTTCCTATAGTTAAGAGTCTCTAATGGTTTGTCTCCCTCTCTGATTTTGTCTTATTTTCTTTTTCCTTCCCTTCCCCTATATTCATCTGTTTGGTTTCTTAAATTCCACATATGGAGACTAGTACTTTTAAAGACTCCCCAGGTGATTTGAAACTGCAGCCAGGATTGACAGCCACTGATTTGGTCAAAACAGTGTTGGGACTAGATCAATATCAGAAATATCAGAGGAGGAATAAATGAACAATTAGGCCCCTGAATCTCTCCATTGGTTTCTCTCAAACAGGACACACACACACAAAGTGTATATATGTATGTATATATATTTATACATGTATGTACTTTATCACACATTCTTTTTTAAAAAAGGTTTGTTTACTTATTAATTTAATTTAATTATTTTTTAGAAAGGTTTTTTCTTGCCCCTAAATTCTTTTTTTATTTTTTAATTTTTTTTAAAGATTTAATTTTTTTTTTGTCAGAGTGAGAACAAGCAGGGGGAGCGGCAGGCAGAGCAGGAAGAAGGAGAATAAGGCTCTCTGCCAAGCGAGGAGCCCAATGTGGAACTCGATCCCAGGACTCTGGGATCATGACCTGTGCCGAAGGCAGATGCTTAACCGACTGAGCCACCCGGGCGTCCCCCTAAATTCTTTTTTTAAAGTTTTTTATTTCAATTCCAGTTAGTTACCATACAGTGTAATATTAGTTTCAGGTGTACAATATAGTGATTCAGCACTTCCATACATCACCTGGTGCTCATCACAAGTGCCCTCCTTAATCCCCATCACCTATTTCACCCATCCCCCCCCACCCACCTCCCCTCTAGTAACCAGCAGTTTGTTCTCTGTAGTTAAGAATCTGTTTCTTAGTTGGCCCCTCTCTTTCTTTTTACCCCATGCTCATTTGTTTTGTTTCTTAAATTCCATAAATGAGTGCAATCCTATGGTATTGTCTTTCTCTGACTTATTTTCACTTTAGCGTAATACTCCTTGCTGCATCCATGTTGTTGCAAATGGCAAGAATTCATTCTTTTTTTATTGTCCAGTAATATTCCATTATATTATGGGATAATAATATAATGGAATATTAAGATAATAACCTCTTTGGTTAGGTTTATTCCTAGGTATCTTACAGTTTTTGGTGCAATTGTAAATAGGATCGATTCCTTGATTCCTCTTTCTTCTGCCTCATTGTTACTGTATAGAAATGCAGCTGATTTCTGTGCATTGATTTTATATCCTGCCACTTTGCTGAATTCCTGTATCAGTTCTAGCAGTTTTTTTTTTTTTTCCAATCAATGAAAGGGAAACTTTATTGAGGCCCCAGGCCCTTCGGGCTTGGGCAGGAGGCTGCCCTGCGGGCAAAGGAAGAGCCGGTGGAGGGGCCTTATTTGACCTTCTTTTTGGGGCACAGGTTGTTGGTGTGGCTGCACTTCTTCTTGTGGCAGTTGACAGCACGGGGGTGCAGGCGAGCCTAACACTTGCGGCAGATCATCTTGTCACAGTTGTATTTCTGGGCCAGCTGGCGGAGGGAAGGCTCGATGATGCCACCCCGGAGGCGAAGCACCAAGTGCAGGGTGGACTCTTTCTGGATATTATAGTCTGACAGAGTACGGCCATCTTCCAGCTGTTTGCCCGCAAAAATCAGACGCTGCTGGTCAGGCGGGATGCCCTCCTTGTCTTGGATTTTGGCTTTGACATTCTCAATAGTGTCACTGGGCTCGACCTCGAGGGTGATGGTCTTGCCCGTCAGGGTCTTCACAAAGATCTGCATCTCTGCGTCTGGCGCGAATCCGCAAGACCTCCGCCACCAAACCACTCGACCACCTCGTTGAAGAGAAGGAGAGTTCTAGCAGTTTTTTGGTGGAGTCTTTTGGGTTTTCCACACAGAGTATCATGTCATCTGTGAAGTGTGAGAGTTTGACTTCTTTGCCTATTTGGATGCCTTTTATTTCTTTTTGTTGCCTGATTGCTGAGGCTAAGGACTTCTAGTACTATGTAGAAAAACAGTGGTGAGAATGTTCTGTCCCTGTCCTGTTCATGAGCTTAGGGGAAAAGCTCTCAGTTTTTCTCCACAGAGGATGATATTCTCTGTGGGTTTTCATATATGTCTTTTATGATCTTGAGGTATGTTCCCTCTATCCCTACATGGTGGAAAGTTTTTGTCAAGAAGGGTTGTTGTATTTTGTCAAATGCTTTTTCTGCATCTGAGAGAATCATATGGTTCTTGTCCTTTCTTTTATTAATGTGGTATATCACATTGACTGATTTATGGATATTATTATGACCCTTGCAGCCCAGGAATAAATCCCACTTGGTCCTGGTGAATAACCCTTTGAATGTACTGTTGGATCCTATTACCTAGTATCTTGGTGAGAATTTTTGCATCCATGTTCATCTGGGACATGGGTCTGAATTCTCCTTTTTGATGGGATCTTTGTCTGGTTTGTCTGGTTTGGGGATAAGTGTAATGCTGGCCTCAAAGAATGAGTTTGGAAGTTTTCCTTCCGTTTCTATTTTTTGAACCAGCTTCAGAAAAATAGGTTTTAGTTCTTCTTTATTTATTTTATTTTTTAATTTAAATTCAATTAGCCAAAGTATTGTTTTTTTGATATAATGTTCAATGATTCATCAGTTCAGTATAACACCCAGTGCTCATCTCATCATGTTCTTCTTTAAATGTTTGGTAGAATTCCCCTGGGAAGCCATCCAGCTCTGGATTCTTGTTTTTTGGGGAGATTTTCGATTACTGTGTCAATTTCCTTGCTGGTTATGGATCTGTTCAGGTTTTCTATTTCTTCCTGGTTCAGTTTTGGTAGTTTATATGTTTCTAGGAATGCATCCATTTCTTCCAGATTGTCTAATTTGCTGGCATATAGTTGCTCATAATATGTTCTTATAATTGTTTGTATTTCTTTGGGGTTGGTTGTGATCTCTTTCATTCATGATTTTATTAATTTGGGGCCTTTCTCTTTTCTTTTTGATAAGTCTGGCTAGGGGTTTATCGATCTTAATTCTGAGAACCAGCTCCTAGTTTCATTGATCTGTTCTACTGGTTTTTTTCTTTTTTTTTTTTTAATATTTATTTGACAGAGAGACAGAAAGAGAGGGAACACAAGCAGGGGGAGTTGGAGAGGGAGAAGCAGGCTCTCCGCCAAGCAGGGAGCCCGATGCGGGGCTCAATGCGGGGCTCAATCCCAGGACCCTGGGATCATGACCTGAGCCGAAGGCAGACGCTTAACAACTGAGCCACCCAGGCCCCCCCCCTTTTTAATTTCTATGTCATTGATTTCTGCTCTCATCTTTATTAATTCTCTTCTCCTGCTGGATTTAGGCTTTATTTGCTGTTTTTTCTCCAGCTCCTTTAGATGTAAGGTTGGTTGTATATTTGAGACTTTTCTTGTTTCTTGAGGAAGGCCTGTGTTGCTATATACTTCCCTCTTAGGACCATCTTTGCTGCATCCCAAAGGTTCTGAACAACTGTCGTGTTTTCATTTTTATTTGTTTCCATGTATTTTTTAATTCTTTAATTTCCTAGTTGACCCATTCATTCTTTAGTAGGATGTTCTTTAACCTCCATGTATTTGTGGTCTTTCCTTGTAGTTGACTTCAAGTTTTAAGGCATTGTGGTCTGAAAATATGCATGGAATAATCTCAATCTTTTGGTATTGGTTGAAACCTGATTTGTGATCCAGTATGTGATCTCTTCTGGAGAATGTTCCATGTGCATTCGAGAAGAAAGTGCATTCTGCTGCTTTGGGATGAAATCCTCTGAATGTAACTGTGAAGTCCATCTGGTCCAGTGTGTCATTCAGAGCCCTTGTTTCCTTGCTGATCTTTTGCAAAGATGATCTATCCATTGCTGTGAGTGAGGTGTTAAAGTCCCCTACTATTAATGTATTATTATCAATGTGTTTCTTTAATTTTGTTATTAATTGGTTTATACAATTGGCTGCTCCCATGTTGGGGGCATAAATATTTACAATTGCTAGATCTTCTTGTTGGATAGGCCCTTTTATTATGATAGAGTGTCCTTCTTCATCTCTTATTACAGTCTTGGTTTAAAATCTAGTTTTTCTGATACAAGGATGGCTACTTCAGCTTTCTTTGGATGTCCATTGGCATGATAAATTGTTCCCCACTCCCTCACTTTCTTTTTTTTTTTTAAGATTTTATTTATTTATTTGAGAGAGAGACAGATAGTGACAGAGATAGCAAGAGAGAGCACAAGCGGAGAGGAGAGGGAGAAGCAGGCTCCCGCCAAGCAGGGAGCCTGACGTGGGGCTCCATCCCAGGACCCTGGGATCATGACCTGAGCCGAAGGCAGACACTTATCCGACTGAGCCACTCAGGTGCCCCTCCACTCCCTCACTTTCAATCTGGAGGTGTCTTTGGGTCTAAAATGAGTGTCTTGTAAGCAGCATATTGATGGGTCTTGTGTTTTTATCTTTCCTGATACCCTGTGTCTTTTGATTGGAGAATTTAGTCCATTTGCATTCAGAGTAAGTATTGAAAGATCTGAAGTTAGTGCCATTGTATTACCTGTAAAGTTGCTGTTCCTGTAGATTGTCTCTGTTCCTTTCTGGGTTTTGTTACTTTTGGGCTCTCTGTTCACTCAAGGGATACCCTTTGATAATTCTTGCAGGGCTGGTTTAATGTTCACAGATTCCTTTAGTTTTTGTTTGTCCTGGAAACTCTTTCAGCTGTTTTCTCTTCAAATAAATTTTCTGTCCCCTGTTCTCCCTCTTCTTCTTCTGGGACTCCTATAATACGGATGTTATTACAGTTAATAACTCAGTCCCTGAGTTCCCTAAGTCTATTCTCATGTTGCATAATTCTTCTTTCTCTCTTTTGTTCAGCTTCATTGCTTTCCATTATTTTGTCGTCTAGGTCATTAATTCAGGGGTTTGTGTTGGTTTTCTGGGGGAGGGGCTCACCACACTGGTACTTAGGCAAGCATGACTGAGAAGGGTTGTTTTACTGGAGCTCAGGGATATGGGGCTTGGTGTAGGTAAGTTAGGCAGCCTGTTTTGGCACAGTGCTGCTTCCCACAGTTGGCTCTGTGTTCATGCTGAGGGCTGGGGGAGGGAAATGGTGCCACCTGGCTCTTTTATTCCTGAGTGGGTCCCTGTGCATGGTCCCTCTCAGGGATGTGCTCTGAGAGGAGCAAATAATCTCCCCACTGTATGCCCCAGGCACACTTCAGTTCCCTGTTTCCATGCTATCTGACCCCTGGGTTGTTTCCTGCCTTCTCTCCAGGAACAGCACAGTGACCTCTAGGCTTTATTCCAGTCAAGCCCTCTGATCTTGGCCCTGGCCCTCTGATCTCTGGCTATAGTTCCTGCTTTAAGCCCTACTGGCTACAAGAACTCATGAAATTCTCCTCTTCTTTTCTAAGCCAATGGCTTTGGGGAAATGCTCTTCTTGGGTGTTCTCCTGTGTGCTCCTCTCTCTCTCTCCCCCTTCTCCATGACCATGGCTCCCTCCCCTCTGCAGCACCTGCAGTCTGTTTCTCCCCTAAACCACATCTCTGCACTTCCTACATTCTTTAATGTGGCCTCTTCTCTCCCTTTATTTTATTTTTTTTAAAGATTTTACTTATTTGACAGAGAGAGAGAACAGAGAACAAGAGAGAAAACAAGAGAACATTTAGTTATCGGGAGAGGGAGAAGCAGGCTCCCCACTGAGCAGGGAGCCTGATGCGGGACTCAATCCCAGGACCCTGGGATCATGACCTGAGCCGAAGGCAGTTGCTTAACCAACTGAGCCATCCAGGCACCCTCTTCTCTCCCTTTAGTTGTGGAGTTTGTTCTGTCTTCAGGTCAACTTTTGCGTTGATCTGATGGTTATCTAGTTGTGTTCCTGGGACTAGTTGTGTTCCTCCTTCTATTGGCTCAGGCAATGACAGATGCCTATAATTAAATAAATCATTTTCAAAATAAACTGACATTCTTTCATGTCCTTTATTGCCAGGACCTAGATCAGTATTTGCCTTTTCACTTTGGAGTACTTCAGCCTGGACACTTTGCTGTGGACCCGGGACCCTCTTCATCTGCCCTTCATTTAAGTTGATTGTTGGGCAGAGTGGGGAGAGGGGTGAGGCAAGAGTTGTCTGATTTCCACCCCCCCCTTGAGAGGATACTCTATATAGCCAATTTGCTAATATGGTACTTCTCAGCCTTGTTTATACATTTAAAACATCTGGGAAACTTAAAAATTCTGATAACTGGGCTTCACTATCAGAAATTCTGATTTAAAAAAATTCTGATTTAGTCTGCCAAGTGGCCTGGACATGGAGAGTTTGGGAAGTCCCCCAAGTGATTCCAGTATGCATCTAGCATTGAGAACTGTGGGGATAAGGAGGTTCACGGATGTTCTTATTTGGCAGGATAACAGTACCAAGGGGAACAGAAGAACAGAGGAGAAGTGTCCCCTTCCAGTTGCTCTTGCTCCTGGAGAGGATGCAGGACAGCCGGCAGAAAGCAGTGCAACCTATGGAGCTTGCCTACTGTCTCCAGAAGTACAATGTTCCAAGTAAGATAGCCTTCTCAGCTCTGAAAGAGAGGGATAGGGAGGAGGTTGGGGAAGGGGAAAGTGGGGGGAGTGCCTCAAAGAATGAGTCAGGAGCTGTTCCCTCCTCTTTGTTTTGGAAGAGTTTTTGAAGGGATAAGTATTAATTCTTTAAATGTTTCTTAGAATTAAGCCAATTCTGGACCTGGGCTTTTCTTTGTGGGAAGTTTCAAAATGACTGATTCAATCGTTTTCCTTTTTATAGTTAGGGTTCTTTCTTCAGGTTGAAAAACTGAACTCCCTTTAGCAATTTCTTGTAAGAAAGTGTAGTGGTGTTTTCCAGATTGGCAGTTTTTTTCTTTTATCACTTTGAATATGTCATTCCACTGTCTCCTGGCATGTAAGGTTTGTGCTGAGAAATCCCCTGATAGCCTTATGGGGGTTCCCTTGTAAGTGATAAGCTCCCTTTCTCTTAATTATTTTAAGATCTCTCCTTTCATTGATTTTTTATTAGGTTCAATTAGCCAACACATAGTAAGTACATCATTAATTTTTTTAAAATTTTTTATTGTTAATCACCATATATTACATCATTAGTTTTTAATGTAGTGTTCCATGATTCATTGTTTGTGCATGATACCCAGTGCTCCACGCAGAACGTGCCCTCCTTAATACCCATCACCAGGCTAACCCATCCCCCTGCCCCCTCCCCTCTAGAACCCTCAGTACATCATTAATTTTTGATATAGTGTTTAATGATTCATTAGTTGCTTGTCATTGATTTTTAAAAGTTTTACTATTGATGTGTCTTGAGTTGAATGTGTTTGGGGTCCTAAGAGCTTCATGAACTTTGATGTCTAAATCTCTCCCCAGATTTGGGAAGTCTCAGCCACTATTTCTCTCTCTTTTTTTTAAATTTTATTTACATTCAATTAATTAACATATAGTATATTATTAGTTTCAAAAGTAGAGTTCAGTGATTCATCAATTGTATATAACATCCACGTGCTCATCATATTCAGCAACCCTCCCTGCCCCCAGCAACCCTGTTTGTTTCCTATAGTTAAGACTCTCTTATGGTTATCTCCCTTTCTGATTTCATCTTGTTTTATTTTCATCTCCCTTTTGATATGCTCCTTCATTTTATTTCTTAAAATCCACATATGTGTGAAATCATATGATAATTGTCTTTCTCTGATTGACTTATTTATAGCTGAGCATAATACTCTCTAGTTCTATCCATGTCCTTGCAATTGGCAAGATTTCATTTTTTTGATGGCTGAGTAATATTCCATTGTGTATATATATCCATTCATCTGTCGATGGACATGGCTCTTTTCATAGTTTGGTTATTGTGGACATTGCTGTTATAAACATTGGGGTGCAGGTGCCCCTTTGTATCACTATGTTTGTATCTTTGGATAGTAGTGCAATTGCTGGGTTGAAGGGTAACTCTAGTTACAAGTTTTTTAAAGATTTTATTTATTTATTTGACAGAGGGACAGTGAGAGAGGGAACACAAGCAGGGGGAGAGGGAGAGGGAGAAGCAGGCTTCCCGCTGAGCAAGGAGCCCAATGTGGGGCTCGATCCCAGGACCATGATCCCAGGATCATTACCTGAGCTGAAGGCAGACGCTTAACAACTGAGCCATCCAGGCGTCCCCATTTATAACTTTTTGAGGAGCCTCCATACTGTTATCCAGAGTGGCTGTACCAGCTTGCATTCCCACCAGTAGTGTAAGAGGGTTCCCCATTCTCTGTATCCTCACCAACATTTGTTGTTTCCTGACTTGTTAATTTTAGCCATTCTGACTGGTATGAGATGGTATCTCATTGTGGTTTGATTTGTATTTCCTTGATGCCAAATATGTTGAGCATTTTTTCATGTGTCTGTTGGCCATTTGTATGTCTTCTTTGGAAAAATGTCTGTTCATATCTTCTGCCCATTTCTTGACTGGATTTCTTGTTCCTTGGGTGTTGAGCTTGATAAGCTCTTTATAGATTTTTGGATACTAACCCTTTATCTGATAAAACATTTGCAAATATCTTCTCCCATTCTGTATTTTGTCTTTTGTTTAGTTAACTGTTTCGTTCGCTGTTCAAAAGCTCTTTATCTTGATGAAGTTCCAATGGCTCATTTTTGCTTTTGTTTCCCTTGTGTTTGGAGATGTGTCTAGCAAGAAGTTGCTGGGGCTGATGTCGAAGAGGTTACTGCCTTGTGTTCTCTTCTGGGATTTTGATAGATTCCTGTCTTACATTGAAGTCTTTCATCCATTTTGAGTTTATTTTTGTGTATGGTATAAGAAAATGGTCCAGATTCATTCTTCTGCATGTGGCTGTCCGGTTTTTACAGCACCATTTATTGAAGAGACTGTTTTCTTTCCATTGGTTATTCTTTCCTGCTTTGTCGAAGATTAGTTGACCATAGACATTCTGTTCCGCTGATCTCTGTGTCTGTTTTTGTGCCAGTACCACACTGTCTTGATGATTACAGCTTTGTAATATAGTTTGAAGTCTGGCATTGTGATGCCACCAGCTTTGGTTTTCTTTTTCAACATTCCTCTGGCTACTTGGGGTCTTTCCTGGTTCCATACAAATTTTAGGATTATTTCTTCCAACACTGTGAAAAATGTTGATGGTATTTTGATAGGGATTGCATTTGATGTATAGATTGCTCTGGGAATCATAGACCTTTTAACAATATTTGTTCTTCCAATCCATGAGCATGGAATGTTTTTCCATGTCTTTGTGTCTTCCTCAATTTCTTTCATGAGTGTTCTATAGTTTTCAGAGTACAGATCCTTTATGTCTTTGGTTAGGTTTATTCCTAGGTATCTTGTGGTTTTTGGTGCAATTGGAAATGGGATTGATTCCTTAATATCTCTTTCTTCTGCCTCATTGTTAGTGTATAGAAATGCAACTGATTTCTGTGCATTGATTTTATATCCTGCCACTTTACTGAATTCTTGTATGAGTTCTAGCAATTTTGGGGTGGGGTTTTTGGATTTTTCACATAGAGTATCACGTCATCTGCAAAGAATGAGAGTTTTACTTCTTCTTTGCCAGTTTAGATGCCTTTTATTTGTTTTTGTTTTCTGATTGCCAAGGCTAGGACTTCTAATACTATGTTGAACAACAGTGGTGAGAGCGGGCATCCCTGTCATGTTCCTGATCTTAAGGGAAAAGCTCTCAGTTTTCCCCCATTGAGAATGATATTTGCTGTGTGCTTTTTGTAGCTGGCTTTTATGATCTTGAGGTAATTTTCCTTTATCCCTACATTGTAGAGAGTTTTAATCAAGAAAGAATGCTGTAGTTCGTCAAATGCTTTTTCTGCATCTATTGAGAGAATCATATGGTTCTTGCTCTTTCCTTTATTAATGTGGTGTATCACATTGATCGATTTATGGATGTTGAACCACTCTTGCAGCCCAGGAATAAATCCCACTTGGTCCTGGTGAATAATCTTTGTTGGATCCTATTGGCTAGTATTTTGGTGAGAATTTTTGCATCCATGTTCATCAGGGATATTGGTCTGTAATTCTCCTTTTTGGTGGGGTCTTTGGTTTGGGGATCAAGGTATGCTGGCCTCTTATAATGAGTTTGGAAGTTTTCCTTCCATTTCTATATTTTGAACCAGCTTCAGAAAAATAGGTATTAATTCTTCTTTAAATGTTTGGTAGAATTCCACTGGGAGGCCATTCGGCTCTGGACTCTTGTTTGTTGGGAGGTTTTTTTTTAAAAATTTTTATTGTTATGTTAATCACCATACCTTACATCATTTTTGATGTAGTGTTCCATGATTCATTGTTTGTGCATAACACCCAGTGCTCCATGCAGAGCATGCCCTCTTTAATACCCATCACCAGGCTAACC